CTGTAAACCTGGAGATAAGTAGGTTTCGTGAATGTTGGAAGTTACAATCCAGGGAAAAGAGAGAGAGAGAGACAGAAATCATATTACTGATCCAACATTTCTTTCTCCCCCTTCTTCATCTTTTATTCAAAATTTGTCTATATACAAATATTCAATCCCGTCTGTATCTCATGTAACAATTGAAAAAATATACAGGGTGGTTCTTTTAAATAAAACCTCCTAAATATCTCTTCAGCTTATTATGATGCAGAAAATATTTTTTACGTGCTTGGTGTGAAAGGACTAACATCTGGCAAGAATATCTTCGCCCCAAGGTTATCCTATCTGGAGTTATCAAGGTCATTAATGGTTTTTGGCACATAACTACACTTTTTTATTATTGCAATCAATTTTGCAAAATTGCAAATTAATTTTCGAAGATCAAGGTCATTTCAAGGTTACGTTATTATACATATCTAAATGTAAATGTATTTTTCGATCAGCTACAGATGTACCATGCACGTTACGTAAAAAATATTTTCTGCATCACAAAAGCCAGGCATGTCAAACACGCAGCCCGCCGGGAACTGTTCTGCGGCTCGTCAAGATTGACAACCAATACGTTTGTATAACTTTTGACAACTGGATTTATATTCGGTAGTTGCGCGAACAACTATTTTCCATTATAAAAAATAATAAAACTGGTGAAAGATCAAGATTAACAGACAAGCATGTGCAAGCAATTTAAAAAAAAAACTACAGCTCAACAAATTCAATCAAATTTTGAAGATTTGATTAATGAAAAACGATGCCAAATTTCTTAAATAAAAGGCGATATTATTTTATTTAAATAGTATCATCTTGAAAAAAAGAAACTTTCCTGCGAACATATATATTTTTTAATATGTCTAATACTTAATATGACCCTCGAACAAATTTGACATGCTTGCAATAAGCTGAAGGGATATTCAGGTAGCCTTACTTAAAAGGACCACCCTGTATATTTTTTCATCTAATGCATAAGAAACAGGCGTGACTGAATGTTCGTACGTAGACAAATTTTAAATATAAAAAACTTAAATAGATCACCTCGTATATGGAGAAC